TAATATAACTTAAAAATATGAAATAGCAACTTTAAGCGACCTATACACGTTCATTTTTTTCGTCAATTAATTGATGGCAATTAATAATTGGCGAAATTGACCTTGTCCACACACGATTAATTTTTTAGCGTCAATTTTCATTTTGATCGAAAACTTCGAGATGAAAGCATCTCTGGCACTAGCACACACTTGTATTAGAAGTTTTCCGAGTTCTGCATATATCATGCAATTTGAGATGGTTTGCCGTAAATTTAGAATAGTCTTGTAAAAATTTAACTGTATTATTTCCAGTTTATCTACATTTTCATAGCCCCAGATTTCTGATCCGTATATAGGCAAAATACATTTGTCAAATAATTGAATTTGACAAGAAATGGAAAGGTTATTATTTCTGCATTTTCTTATTAAAGAGTACATTCCCTTGGTTGCTTTTTCAATCACATCTTGTTTTGTTTTGGAGAAGCTCCTGCTTCTTTGAAATATAACTCCCAAATACTTATAATCACTAACGATTTCAACTTCATTTTTTAAAATAACATTTTTGATTTGCAAGTATTTTACCATTCGAAAATATTAATACCTTTGTTTTCTGTATATTTATTTATAAATTCCATTTGTCACAGTACTGATCAAAATTTGTTAAAGGAGTTTGCAGATCATCAGGGTTATCCGCTAATAAGATAGTATCGTCAGCATAAAGTAATAGGAAAATTTTAATATTAGTTTCAAGTACAGATTTAAGGTCATCTGTTATGATACGTATGCCAGTGATATTTTTATTTCCTTGTAGATCATTTAGACATAATGAAAATAAAACGTGAAGCAAATTTTCTCCCTGTCTTATGCCTATTTCACACGGAAAAAAGCTAGATTTCTCATTATTATGGATAATACATGACTTTATATTCAAGTACAGATTGTGAATAATGTTATAAAATTGGCCATTTATATTATTTAGTAAGAGTTTTGAATACACGTTCAATTTCTTCATCAATCAATTAATTGACATCAATTAATCGAGAAAAAAATTGAACGTGTATGGACCGCTTTAGGCTAAGTAGCGATTTAACTGGTCACCTAATCTCTGATTATAATTCAGGTAGCTGTGTAGATGTTCATTAGGTAAATGTTAGTCTAAGTATAGATAAGCAGTTTGATTTTTCGATGATTTACATAAATATAAAATGAGTAATTAAACATATATTATGCAAGAGCATAATCTGCCTTTTGCAGGTCCAGTTTCATATGTTATATACAAATTATTATTTATACATTATATTCACATGCCACGCTCTCAATCACGATATTGAAGAGAGAGGGGGGGGGGAGTTGTTAACATCCACTCGACACAAACCAGGTCATTTCGTGACTGACACATGGTTCAGTTTTATTTCAATAATTCGCTTGCGTGCAGGGGTCTTTAGCAGTGGCCGGAAATAATAGGACACGGAGAAACCTACGAGGTTGGACAGGTGACCCTACTCCTTATCACGTACAACCGGGGAATCGAAACCACATCAGTTGACTCAATGACAGACATGATACAACTCGCACGTCCACTCGACACAACCTAGGTCATTTCGGGACTAATTCAAGATATTGAATAGATTAGAACAACCACGCCATTTAAATATACAATTATGGGAGATTAGATAAAGAGCTAGCAGTTCTCACTATAATAGTTAAAAACTTGACAATGTAAAGGGAAGTTGTTGAAAATTTCAGTCAAATTGGTCCCCTATGAACCGAGAATTAAGCGATTGAAATTTCGGTCTAGCCTCGATCATCATTACTAAAGTCGGTACGATAAAAAAAACATAGTCTCGATTATCCAACAAATCTGATCATAATCCAGTAACTATCGCAGGCTAGCGATGACACCGAGAGTTGATTATGGTCTGGATAAGTTGATTAATGTCTAATTAATAGTATATATATATAACAGTTTAGTCCTAAAGAAAGACCTACAATAGGCAGATTTAGCTCTTACATAATATACTCTTCAAAAAATGTAGGGGATATTGAAATGCAAATACCTATGCAGGTTGTGATATGATAAATAGTCATGGACACTTGACATGCTTTGAGAGTATGTTCACAGATGAAGAACTTATCGCCCAGACAGAACCACTGAGCTGCATGTGTGACACGCAATAGCGCCATACACGTGGGAGGGGTTCATTGTCAAATTTGACACTCCAAGGAAGGTTTGATGAAAACTACCGCTTGCTTGTTTATCCAATCCATGTTTGCTTTTCTATTGGTTCTTGCATAAGATTTACTGTTAAGCGTATCGTCGCGTAAGTGTGTTACGTTTAATTTGATCGGCAGACGTGTTCGTCGACGTCATTGTCAACCCACAACACTGCAAGAATTGGCCATGGCACTGCAAGAGGAGTGGCCCAGATTGCCCCAAATCGTGATTGGGCGGTTGATTAGGAGCATGCCACGACGAACTGCTGAATGTCTGAGGATTGGTGGAGCAATTACTCTTTATTAAGACAAAAATCAAAAACTTCCATTTTCACTTTTAACAGTGTATCTCTTTGCGAGTGAAATGGGACCGTCAGATAAGCCGCCCATATGAACTGTTTATGTCCATGTGTAGGCAATTGGCCTGTTATTAACATACACTGGTTACCTCTAATAAAAACAGCAGTGCATTTCCGCAGTTTTGTATTGTTTCTGAATATCCCTTACTTTTTTCGAAGAGTATAAGTTTAATTGTTTAACGTTAAAATGGAAATGGTGTTGATTGTTATCGTGAGCAATCGTACTTCAGTATGTACGCCATTTGTTGTTAAAACTTCATACACCCATACATTGCTCAGAATAAATCTAATTTGACTGAGTCATTTTTTGTTATCTATTTTTAAACTATTATATCATAAACTGTTAGCCCATTATATAAATATTGCATAATTCATCTGTAATAATGAACATCTACTTACTATGAGATTGAGATGAGGGGACATCCGCCTCAGTTGGCTTATCCAGGTCACAATTACTGCTTATTACTGAGCGACGTTTCGACTAGGTTTCTCTAGTCATTAGCAATCAATGATAAAATATAAAATATAACCAGATTTTATATACATGTAAAAAAAATTGAAAAAATACTTAATACGGAACAACCAGTCAGCTTGTTTTGAACTCTGTAGACGCCTAAATAACCAAGACTTTGTCACAGCTATAAATATTTTAGGTCACTGTATGGACTAGATATCTGTAACACTATATTTCACCAGATAAGTTCAATAATAATAATATTACTATCTGCCAAAGATACGATTAATTTTATAATCTAATGTATGCATGTTTTATCAGGCTTTTAGCATGCTTATACCCCTATTTTATGATCTTTTTTTTTCCGACGTGGTTTCCACTTGTCAGTGGTGCAAGATGAAGGGCCTGACAAGGACAGCTGTCTAGTCGTTCGGATGTGACGAAAAACCGAGGTCCCGTGTATACATTGGCATGCACGTAAAAGAACCCTTGGCAGTTGGAATTCGATATAAGAGTAGGCCATCCCGGGCAAATCTTCCCTCATCATAGCACACTGCATGGCGTGTGTCCGTCTTCATTAGCCCAGTTCGGAGTAGAACAGTAGGACGTTAAACCCCATTTCATTTCATTTTGATCTATTTTGTTAGTAGAACTGCACCAGAGAGAGAGAGAGAGACAGACAGACAGAGAGAGAGAGAGAGAGAGAGAGAGAGAGAGATCACTGAATTTGACTTATATGCAATGAATACTATATGACTTATTTAGGCTGTCTAATAAATCTTTATTGACTAAATCAGATCATATCTTCACATACAGGTGGGGTGGATGGATGGCTGAATGGTTTGCGCGTGCACGTTGTATCATAACCTCTGTAACTGAGTCAACTAGTGCAGTTTCGATTCCCCGGTTGTACGTGACAAGGAGTAAAGTCACCTGTCCAACCTCGTAGGTTTTCTCCAGGTCCCTCCCCCCGCCACTGCTAAAGACCCCTACGCGCAAGCGAATTATTGAAATAAAATTAAACCATATGTTAGTCCCGAAATGACCTAGTTTGTGTCGAGTGGACGTTAAACCCCATCTCTCTATCTCTCTCTTTCTAAAGAGAGGCCACTCGGCATCGTATTCTACGCAAAATTTTATTCTAGAAAAGTTGGGTCTGGTTTTGTGCCCATTTGCCCCCCCCCTCCCCCGCACTGGGCCTCTCCTTCCCTCTCTCTGCCTCCCTCTCTCTCTCTCTCCTTCTCTCGCAAATGCACTTTTCTGCTATTCTAGCCCGTGAATTAAGTAACTTCAAAGTTTCCCACTCTGTGCAGACCAGAATTCCAACCATCCAATGATGCCCGAAAAATGTCGCACCAAGTAGGGTGACTTTTATCCATAGTAGATTCAGTACAAATTCGTGGTATTCAATTAAAAGAAAAAGAAAATTAGTCTTATTAAATTTCGGGCATTTTATTTTGCCAATTGCCAATTAGATGAAATAAAAAAAATTGTTTTTACTTTACCCATCTGCCCGAAAGTCATATTGGCCAAACCCCTCATCTTTAGTGATAGGCTCATTTAATACCTCAACACCATCATTATTCCTATGAACGTCATACTCAAGGCCATACATGCCCGTCTTCATTAGCCCAGGTTAGGAGCAGAACAGTAGGACGTTAAACTCCATTTCATTTCATTTTCTATGGGTATCACTAGGATTATTATTTATTATTTTGTTTACAATATTGAAACTATTGTGGTGTTATCCCAGACAGTGATGATGGCCTTGTTCTAACAGTTCTAATAGTAAGTGCAGGAGGAACGCACTACACGCAAAACAAATATCTACGAGATAAACCTGCGAACAAGACAGAAAATAGACATTGGACTAAATAAACAAATATCAAATCAAGTGAATGGATCCGGGAGCCAGAGAGAGAGAGAGAGAGAGAAATGGGGTTTAACGTCCACTCGACACAAACTAGGTCATTTCGGGACTAACGTATGGTTTTAATTTTATTTCAATAATTCGCTTGCGCGTAGGGGTCTTTGGCAGTGGGAGGAAACCGGAGGACCCGGAGAAAACCCACGAGGTTGGACAGGCGACCCTACTCCTTGTCACGTACAACCGAGGTATCGAAACCACGCCAGTTGACTCAATGACAGGCTTTATGATATAGCACGCACGTGCTAATCATTCGGCCATCCAACCCCCCTGGTGCAATTGTGATATAATTACAACTAGGTGATAACTGACTTAATTACTGGCATTTTATACTACCGTACATGATTATAAACAATTAGATTACTGACATGTTATGCTATTGTACATGGTGATATACAACTAGATGATAACTGACTTAATTACTGACATTTTATAGCACATAAAGGCGGGTATAAAGTTAAGATTGCTTTACTACAATTTGTACTTTTCCATCCTGATCAATGTAAATAGAGGGTGTTAGGGTTTTATTTACGGGTGATGGTACTGGTGGTTCATTATGAGGTTCGGTTGTCCACTGTCTATTAAGAATTGCTGCCATTGGTTCATTCGGGATTGGTTCAGTAATTGGTGTCAATAGTTGGTTACTTGATGATGTTTCAAATGTTAATGGTTGGTTTCCTGGTATTGATGTCATCTGTTCATTGGTGCATAGTTCATAGCTGTGTTTTCGGGATCAGGTCTAGAGAAAAAGAAAGAGCAAAATTTAAAGATACATTATGTAAGATTTAGATAAAGAGCTAGCCATTCCTGCTATGCTATAATAGTTCGAAAATAAATAATGTCAAATGAATAATTTGAAAACTTCATTCAAATTACTCTATTGCAAGCGAAGATATTAGCCTTTGAAGGTTTGACAAGACGTGTGCAATAATTTCAACCACTGTACTGGTTGTTTAAAGCTAAGTCTCGCTCCTCCATTTTTAGCTTAAATCAAAATATGGCTGAACTGTTCTAATCTATTTAATATCGGAGAAATCCGATGCCATCGAGAGTTGATTATGGTCTGGATAAGTTAGTTAATGTCTAATTAATAATTTAGAAAACATTTCAGGCCTAAAGAAAGACGTGCAATAGGCAGACTTAGCTCTTGCATAATGTATGTTTAAAGTTCAATAGTATAAATTATTGAAGAAATGTTATAAACAGACTCTATTTTTCACCATTAATATTCTTTTCAATACTACTTCTCCCATTCTTGTTTATCCATACTAAGATTTATTTACATCTTGTATTTTGGATAATTGTAGATTAACGGAAAAATGGAAATGGCGGATTTGATTTGATTCAATATTGTTCATTGAAAACTAGTTTTATGGCTGCATGCGTTTTGATAAACTACTAATTGTCAAAACTTTCAGCTGCAGATTAAATCAAAAAAAAAAAACACACAACTATTTATCGTACAAAAACTTATCTTTTCATGGGATCTTACATGATATGCATAGTCAATTGATATATGTCCTTGTGAGACATCCAAGCATTAATGCACCAAAGTTTGAATTTAATTGCAATTTTCACTGGAAACCAATGTAAATCCTTAAAAGTGGTGTGATTTGGCAATTTCTAGCCGGAGTATTTTGTACAAGATGGGGGGTTGCATGGCCGAATGGTTAGCACGCACGCGCTGCGCTGTATCATATGGTCTGTCATTGAGTCAACTGGTGGGGTTTCGATTCCCCGGTTGTATGTGACAAGGAGTAGGGTCGCCTGTCCAACCTCATAGATTTTCTCCGGGTCCTCCGGTTTCCTCCCACTGCTAAAGACCCCTACGCACAAGCGAATTATTGAAATAAAAAAATTAAACCATGTTAGTCCCGAAATGACCTAGTTTGTGTCGAGTGGACGTTAAACTCTCTCTCTCTCTATCTCTCTATCTCTCTCTCTTGTACAAGATGTTATTTGTGTATAAGGCTGTTGTTTAAGCTAAACAGTAGTCAAGTCTGGATAAAATTAAAGATCAAACGAGCGCATGTGTTACATCTTTTGTGATCTAATTGCAGATTTGATGTATAGACCTCAAATGGTGATATTTCAAAACTATGATTAAAATATTTCTATTTAACCAAGAGTAAGGTTACACTGTCCATATCACATGCAATATAACTTACTGATCAACTATAATTTCTTCTACTGATAACATCAGTGACAGCTTCTCTCTTCCACAATGGGATGGTTGTGCCAGTGGAAGTAATGAAACAGGTATTCCCTTTATAGGTATTCTACCACTTTGTACAGATTTATATGGGAATTTTCGATTTGAATTTGTAGCTTTAGCTTTAAAGATAATAATATAAAAACAATAATTGAACTGTGAATAAGTCAGAAATTTTTCTGAACTTATTTATGACACTCCTGATTGCTGAGTCAGCACCTTACTAACTGAGCCACCGTGGCTAGATTATACTATAAAATGTAGTTCTAATTAAGATACTCAAAGATATGTTTGCACACATCTAAGTTGTCCAAGCAGTCCATAAAGGTTGCCATATCTTTTTTGGGGATGATAACTTTAGCCTCTAGAGTGTCCATGGCAGACAGACAACAATATACAACCACATTTCAATGTGGGCCCATAAAAATTAACTTAAATGCAGAGGACAATCTCTCTGCTTACTTTCAAATGACAAGCTACTTCTTCTGTCAAATACACTGGTTGTAGAAATACAAACTACATGACAACATTTCCAGAGACATCACCATAACTCATGTGACAATACATAAATCAATGTGAAAATATAAAGTTACCATAAAGCTTGTTAAAGTGCTCTCGGGAGATCACGTGGCTAAGTGGGTAAGACGCTAGCTCGCTAGCCTGGAGGTCGGGTGTTCGATCCCTGCATTGGCCGAGAAAGTTCATCCAGATTTTCCGGCGTGGTTCTCCCTTGTCAGTGATGCAGGGCTGAGGGGCTGACAAGGAAAGCTGTCTAGTCGTTCGGATGGGACGAAAAACCGAGGTCCCGTGTACACATTGGCGTGCACGTAAAAGATCCCTTGGCAGTTGAAATTCGATTTAAGAGTAGGCCGTAGTCCCGCTGTCCGGGCAAAATTTCCCTCATAGCACACTGTATGGCGTATGCCCTTCTTCATTAGCCCAGGTTAGGAGCAGAACAGTAGGACATTAAACTCCATTTCATTTCATTTCATTTCTCTTGCTCTCGCTTGTAAAACTGAGAGTTTCTCCTGATTTGATTCATTTGATGCTGTAATAAAATTATCTGTGCATTCACAAAATTGTAAATCTAATCACCAGATTATAATCATAATACACGACACGATTCTTCAATTCTATTTTCTACAAGTGTGAGAAACCTAGGAGTAAGGTTTGATTGTGAATCATCAATGGAAACTCACATTATATCCTATACATTAGAAAATATTTAACTGCAGAATCTGCCAAAATATTAGCATCATCCCTTATACTGTCTAGAATAGACTACTGTAACAGCCTATTAGCAGATGCACCATCTATTCTCCTGAATCATCTTCAGGTATGAAATAATCTAAAAATAATGTTATTAAGTTACCTTGACTGGACGTTTGAGAACTGAAGTATATAATTATTGATGTTTGTACACTTTCTTTTGAAAAATAATCATTCATTTTTCCATTTCTAGCGATAAAAAGTTTATCACTTGAAAACCCCACAGCAGCAATATTAATATCGCAGTCTGATATTTTCTGAAGCTAAAAAAAAGAACAAGTTTGGGACTCAAATATAAGCATACATTCACGTTGTTAAATATGGTGATTACCCTGGAAATAATTGTTGACTTGTGCTAATATTTAAAGCTGCAATTTCATATTTTTAAGTTATATTTTTTAAAATTTATCAAAATAAAGCCTTAAAATAGATGGTATCCATAAACCGTCCTATGGTTAAAGAATAATCCTATTAATCCTATAATTCACTATTGCCAGCTGAGAAATTGGCAAAAATATCATTTTCAAGTTCAAATTCCAACGTTTGAAGGTAGCTAATGCATGGAGGCAATATGAAAACAAGGGAGGTAATTGTGTAATTATTTCATGTGTCAATGATTTTTAAGGGTGGGAAATAATGCCCACGGAGGTATAATAGTGAGTTGATAACCTATTGAGCAAAAGACATAGAAATAATTATGTTTTGACTTTCTTAGAAAATATGAAATTCTCGCTTTAAAAGAGTTAAGATTTATGATTAAAATTTCAGTAATAATGTTTACGGTAACTATAATAAGAAATGAAATGAAATGAAATGGGGTTTAACGTCCTACTGTTATGCACCTAACCTGGGCTAAGGGAAGACGGGCATACGCCATACAGATCTATAATAAGATCCTCATTTTACTTATTGTATAGATGTGCTTAAAGCATCCAAGATTTTTAAAATTTAGCAATAAATGTCACTTTAAGAGAGAGAGAGAGAGAGAGAGAGAGACTGACAAAATGTTTTGGATTACCTTATATTCAAAGCTCACCACTACAATTAACTGTTTAAAAGTATCAAAGTTTTCAATAATAAAAAATTACGAGAGCATCTAACTGTTTTAATAGAACAGAAGAGATCCTTTTTTTTCACACTTTGGGCGGCTTTTAATTGGCACAGTTAGTTTGGCTCTTTGACAATAAGTACTTTTTTGGTTTTCAGGAAGACTTTTCCAATTATTAGACCATGCTTTCATGTCTTTGATTCCATCTGCAAAAAAAAGAAAGTATCCAATTTTGAATTTTCATTTGTAAAATTTTAACTGAATATAAAAATTTGATAATCAATCACTCTCTTTATATAAATATTAAATTAATAATAACAACTTGGAAGTCATACAGTTACATAACTTAAAATTATACAGAACCATTTCTTTGACAATCAGGTAGGTAAATATGACCTCTGTTTGAATTCCATGATGGTGTAAGTAAGTACATTGAAAAAAAACTTATTATATCCTAAGCTTGACAATAATATATGAATTTTGTAATGCACAATAAATCAGTTACTTCTGCTTGATGTTCATATAACTTAAAAATATCAAAAGAAATAAACAACAGTGAAACAATATTAATATTCAATTTCAACAAGGAAACATAAAGAACAATATGGTAGAAACTGTTATCAACAATAATTCAGGATCAAATTCAGAGCTCTTATAAATATACTCAGCCAAATTAAAAACTTGACACTCGGGATTTTTGGGACTAGATTTTTAATATTTGGTTTAAGGCAACTATTTTAGTGTTATGTTGTGCACAGACGACCTTGACATCAACAGAAAGCAAGAATACGTCTCGCCGACAGTCCTTGACATTTATAACGTTCGTGATGTCACAGTACCCCCCAAAATGAAATTCACAGACTTGGAGAACGATCGGAATAAAGTGTTTAGTAACGGTTGTGGCCTCCTCTAGCGTCTCGTACTGTCACACAACGTCTTCTCATGGATCTCAGAACATTAGTAAACACTACCCGAGGAAGACGTCGCCACTGCTAAGCAAGAGCATGTTGAAGGTCCTGCAACGTCAGTGGTGGATTCACTTGCTGACGAACACGTCGACCCAGTTCGTCCCAGATGTGTTCAATAGGATTAGGGTCAATCCAGGTCTTGGACACCGGCATTTCTTAAAAAATTCTGGGTAGCAATTGCTGTATGGGGTCGAGCATTGTCTTGTTGAAACGTTAGTCCAGGCCCATGTCTCTGCATAAACGGAAGAAGAACAGGTTGCAAAATCTGATCCCTGTACTGGACAGCATTTAAGTTCCCTTGGACAACAACAAGAGGAGAACGTCCATGTGCACAAAAAGAACCCCAAACCATGACGCTGCCGCCACCAAATCGGTAAACTTCTCTGACGCATACTTGAGCGTAACGTTCACCTGTCGTCTGCGGTACACTCGGACCCTGCCATCGGCAAATCTCAAAGTGAATCGAGATTCGTCACTAAAGACAACCGAATTCCACTGTCTTTGAGTAAATCTTATGTGTCTTGTGGCCCACACAAGTCGGTTACGGCGATGGAGAGGTGTCAATATTGGTCCATTATAGGGCCTCCGAGCTCGAAGACCAGCAGCCTGCAAGCGGTTTCGAACAATTTGTGCAGTTACCCTTCCACCAAACATCTCTCTACTTGTGGAGGTTGCAGTGACAAATCTGTTTCTAAGATGACGTAATCGTATTGCTTGATCTTCCTGGAGTGACGTCACACGTGGCGCTCCCGCCCTTGGGTGGTCGGCAATAGTTCCAGTTTGAAGCACACTCATTCTAAGATTAATTATTGTCTGACGTGAACAATTAAAGGCTCTTGCAACAGTGACCACAGACTGACCAGCATAGAGCCTACCTACAGCACGTAGACGTTCTACATTTGACAGGCGCGGCATTTTCTAATAAAGATGAAAATAACAATTTTAATTTGTTTTTCCAGTGCAAGTTACGTGTGCGCGTTCAGTTTAAGCAAACTTGCATCGATCGACCTCACGAGTTTGTGTTTGCACGTGTTTTTCAGGTTTTTCATCTTTATATGCTCAAAAGTCACGTGATCCACGTGACTTTACAATTTTATGAAATTAAAGGCTTCTTACTACTTACTATCGTTAGAAACACTTTAAAATTTATTTGACTTACCAGAAATTTTTTTTTGTTTTGAAATTCATCAGTGTCAAGTTTTTAATTTGGCTGAGTATACATAAAGCTCATGCATATAAAGGCAGACAAGGCGAATGTAAATATATACCTATGGTTACTCAATGTAATAAAAAATGAAATAACAATAAGTGTGCCTTGCCCTAAAAATTATTTTGAATGTGAAAATTTTAAGAAATAACAATATTTCTAAAGTCTTATCTATACATTTATAGTATGGTATACAAACAAAAAATTTGAATTGATCATGGTCAGGAAATCACCTAAAACAAGTTCATCTACCGTGTTTATTATTATACTAAAAATGTCTTCTGCCAAGGGATCTTTTACGTGCACGCCAATGTGTACACGGGACCTCGGTTTTTCGTCCCATCCGAACGACTAGACAGCTGTCCTTGTCAGGCCCTCCGTCCTGCATCACTGACAAGGAGGAACCACGAACTTGTTTAAAACAGAAGAGTTTTTGAATGACGATAAAGAGGTGCATTGACTTAGGTTAATAGGTAATGAGTTCCACCTTCTAACAGTAGCTATTTCAAATGAACGAAAACCAAAAGTTGTCATCCTGAGAGATTTTGATCCCAAATGGAATCTAAGATTGGACAAGTTCACATAGATATTAAGGAACGGTGCCATTTACACATTTAAGAAGTTTAAAATCTATTCAGTCAGAAACCGGGAGCCAAATGGAGATCTTTTAGAATGGGTATGTTACGGCTGGATCCCGTTGATTAGGTCACGATCCTGGCAGTAGAGTTCTGAAGGCCTTGTAGGCTGTGAAATTGGCATTGTAGAAGATCAAATAGAAGGCTTGCACTGGTTTATTTCCTCATGTTGTCAGACATTCGCCTAAAGTCAGGTTACCAGGCAACAAAACATATGCCCACAGCAGCTAAGTAGTCTGCACAGTCTACAAGGGTTGTCACATTTTTTTCACTGAACATCAATCGCTTCTTTATCTCATGCATATAAACACAGTGTATTGAAGACAGAGAAAGGGAGGGGCATAGGGAGACAGAGGGAGAGACAGAGCGAGGGAGAGACAGAGCGAGGGGGACAGACAGGAACAGGGAGGGAGAGACAGACAGAGGGAGGAACAGATGGAGGGAGGAACAGAGCGCGGGAAAGAGAGAGGGAGGGACAGATGGAGAGAGGGGCAGATAGGAGGGAGAAACATCGGGAGGGATAGAGGGAGGGAGGGAAAGATGGAGTGAGGGAGGGAGGGCAGGACAGACAGAGGCAGTGACCGACACAGTGAGGAAGAGACAGAGGGAGAGACAGAGAGGGAAGGACAGGCAGAGGGGGGGACAGATTGAGGGAAAGACGAAGGAAGGGACAAATAGACGAAGTGCCAAAGGAACAGACAAGGGGGGGCTGACAGGGGGACAGGGAGACACGGGGGGGGGGGGCAGGGGCGAGGAACAGATGGAGGGAGGGATAGAGGGAGCAACAGACGGAGAGAAAGACGAAGGAAGGGTCAGATAGACGGAGGAACAGACGGATGGAGGGAAAGACGAAGGGAGAGATATAGAGAGGGAGGGACAAACACTGGGAGTGAAAGGCGGATGGAGGGATAGAGGGAGGGACAAACCGCGGAAGAGGGACAGAGGGTGAAACAGATGGAGTGACCGAGGGACAGAAAGGGACAAGAAGACAGAGAGGTGTGGGAGACAGAGGGAGGGACAGATGGAGGGAGGGACAAACGGCGGGAGGGATAGAGGAAGGGAGGGGCAGAGGGTAAGACAGAGAGGTGTGGGAGACAGAGGGAGTGACAGACGGATGGAGGGATGGAGAGACAGATGGAAGGAGGGACAGATAGGAGGGACAAACGACGGGGGGTATAGAGGGAGGGAGGGACAGAGGGTGAGACAGATGGGGTGACCATGGGACAGAGAGGTGTGGGAGACAGAGGGAGGGACAGACGGATGGAGGAATAGAGGGAGGGACAGATAGGAGGGACAAATGGCGGGAGGGATAGAGGGAGGGACAGAGAGAGG